ACCTTTGCTGGGAGCCGCCCACCCGCATGACTTCAGGTAGGTCTGGCTCCTCCACACTGATGCTGCTCAAGCACCCATGCTTTGAACTGGAGTGGGGGTACTCGTTTTCATAACTTACGCCTTTGCTAAGCGAGCTCCCCCGAGTGGGCCAGCCCACACAGCATCCTCCATCCCTCCATCCCAGGGTCTGGGGTTACCAGGAGACTGGCCAGAAGCTGCGGGCCATGCAGCTGAGCTTCTGGAAGATGCACTGGAGGTCTGCAGGGGCGGAGAGGAGGCAGGGAAGAGGCTGCCCTCCCACCACCGCTCTCTGCCCTGCTCCACCCGCTAACCTTTCCCTTTCTGTGCTTCTGGGCATTAGCTTACAAAGGGCTGGGATGGAGAGGGCATGGATTAGGGAGTGGACCCTTAGTGGCCTTGAGGATTCCTTCCATTTATAAAATATAAAACAAAGACAAGGAAAGAACCTGGGTCCTTTGTAAAAGGAGCCCCTGAGGTCGTGAAGAGGCAGGATGCCAGCCGGGCTGGCACCCTCCTGAGCCCTGCAGAATGAGTGTTTTCTTGGCTCTGTGACAAGAGCTAATTTTAGAAAAATGATTCTTGAAAGACGATGACTCCCAAAGGCTATGAAGATGCATGAGTGTCTCACGGCCGTTCACACGCTGCGTCTTCTTTATTATTATTTCAGTGTTAAATACGTAGGTTTCAGAACATCTAGACAACTTCTACACACAAAAAGGCACGAGGAAAGCTGGCCAGAAGGGAGTCAGAGCAGACGCAGCGATCAGCGTGTGCTTAAAAATTCTCCCCGTTCACAAACACCGCTGCTCATGCGCGCCCACCGCAGGTGTGGGAAGGGCATCTTTCCAGTGGCAGAGCCCAGAGGGACCTTCTCTTTACCTTTGGACAATATAAGAAGGTACTGACAACCCTTTGCTGCATCGTTACGTCTGCCTGTGGTGGTCCTTACATTTCATAATTCCACTGGGCACTTTGTCATAAACTGCCTTCTGGATAATGCACTTTCGTTCTGAGTGGCTTTTGAAGGAGCATGTAAATACTCTTCCGTTCTCTTCTGAACATCCCTGCAGAAGGGGGACTCATTCCTTTGAGAATTAGTTCCCAAGACACGGGCACTGGAATTCCTGAGTGGGTAGAATGATCAGAATTATTTCTAGCGCGGCCAGGTGGTGATGTTGGAATCAATCGTTGTGGGAAAGAAAACAAAGCCATGGGGCACAAATGATGCTTCTAACCTCGCCAGTCCTCCCGGCGACCTTGCAGGACCCAGGGGGCAGTCCTCCTCCCAGGAGCCTGGGAGTGACAGCCTCTGTCACAGAAGCCATCCCACCGAGGCTCGCAGGAACCTATGAGCTGGAAGCCTCTTTCCACCATCACCTGGGGACCGATGCTCTGCCCGAGGAGCCTCTGTTTCTGTCTCTCTGATGTGATCTAGGTCCCCACTAATGAGGGGACAGAGCAGGGAGGGCTGCAGATGCCGCCTGTTTGAGCTGCACCAGCACAGCACCGTTTCAGCTGTGCCGCGCAGAGGGAGAAAGTGGTTTTCTCCTGTTGCTGTCCAACATTTCTTCCCACACAGCTGGACGGTTATTTTAAGGAAAAGAATGGTCCGTGGCTATGACGTAGACAGGGGTCTCCTTCATCTCCGCGTCCTGGATTTTTGCAGATATGCCGATGACTGCGGTCGCCATCCGTGCAGTGCTTTCTGTAGCATTTCGCCAGCAGAATATTTGTGCTGCCTTGAGATTTCGTCATTTTGGAGAACGTTCCCTTTATTGGCAACAGAGGGTGGCAGCGATGGGGTGTGGGGAAGCCTTCGGATTGTTAGCAGTTGAAGCCTCCCCGTGAGCAGAGGCGGGGAGCCCGCGCCCCCCGGTGCTGCTGCGCACCGGGGCCGGGAGGAGGGTGAGGGGTCCCCCTGTGCTCCTGCCGCTCCCCTTTCTCAGCGCCCAGAGGCCTCGCAAACCCCGCCCTTTCCACCTCCCAGCGCCACAGTCAGTGATTCAATCATTGAAACGCTAACAAAACTGGAGGCCACAGCTCAGTGGAGCTTTGTGGCTGGTGAACACATCCCTGTCCCAAGAGGGTGACGTCTCCCGACACCATGGCAAGACGGCACGGAGTTTCTGCACTTGGGGCGCCCACCCCCCCGACCTGGACTCTGTGTCCCTCACAGGAGCCTGTGGTCATTGGTCCAATGCTTTCCTGAGTTCTGCTCGTCATTTTAGCAAATCCTCCAGCCCGAGGGCTGTCGTGGGAGCCCCCCAAGATTGGCAGTCAAACGGTCAGAAGTGCAGGTGGCCTGGGGACCTGACTTAAGGCTGGCGTCTGGCGTGGGGACAGGCTTGTGGGATGGTGTCCTCGCCTGGTGGGGGCCGGGCCACCGCGCTGGTTAGTGTCAGAGCCGTATGCGCTGCGCTCAGTTAGGGCAGACACGGAATAACTGTTATTAAGGGTGATTTTGTGATTTCTGATAGAAGTGCTGAAATCCTGGAAACAGCTTCCAGATCTGCAGGCTGATGACAGAGTGAAGCCCTTGCTCCTGAGTGGTCCTATTTTTTTTTTTTAGTCCCTGAAAAGCAATGTTATCTTTTTTTTCCATTTTGTCTATTTTCAAAATCAAATTCTTTGCGGTATAAAGTACATGCAATAAATAAAATGGACCCGTTTTTAGAGCATCATCTGAGGTGAACTTGACAGAGGGGCTGAGTGCACAGGTTTAGAAAGATTGTTCTCAAAGCGCGGTCGCCCAGACACACGTGCTCTTCTGCACACTGCCCGTGAGCTGTTCTGATGAGCTGTGCTCGGAGCTTGGCAGTGAGCTTTGACAGCCTGGGGACACTGCCCAGACATTCTGGAACGGAAATACGAAAGTATTCAGATTGTAGCAACATTGGGGGAACATGATCCTTCCCCACAGACAGTGTAAGAATCAGATTCTTATGATCAGATGGAATCAGAACTTAGTGCTAAAAGTGTGAGCAGATGGGCTTTTATATGCTGTCTGCTGCCTGCTATCTCTGTGGCTTCGGGCAAGTTACCTAACCTCTCTGGGCTTCAACTTTCTGACGTGTGGAGTGGATGAAGCCGTGTTTCCTACCTTATTAGGTGCTGGGAAGACCAAATGGGATCATCCAAGGGAAGTGCGGGGCAGCACAGGGCCTGGCCCGCCGCAGGTCGGCTGCCAGCATTGTGTTCTGCAGGCTCCTTTCTCAGCATCAG